GAAACACAATTCGTACGTAGATTTAATAAAAGATAATGAGTATCATCACCATAGCTAAGTACAAACACGGCAACGTGTAACAGAATGCGTACGTCATCGGGCGTTACATTGCACATAAAATTGCCATCAACAAACGTAATAGGAACAAGTGATCGCCGGCGCAACATATCTAGATCCCTTATCGATCGATGGATCCCGATTTGATCTACGCATGCGTACGTTCATAATTATCTCGGCTCTTTCATCCGCCGACTAAAGTTTACGACCGCCTGCCCCGTGTAAACGTCTGAAATCATATTGGCAAGTAATTAATGTTCATTACTAAGTTTAATATGGACAATTAACTACACTGTACACAATACACGGCAATTATAACGTAACTGATGGACTTAATAAGACGGTTCTAAGATCGAGTTACAGATTTTACTGTTATCATTAGCTTTTTGATTGACACCTTGACATTAGTGCAGATTAGTCGGTGGACCAAGAATCGTACCCTGGGAAGCCCCATTTTTTTTTTGTTCTCCGTATTGAGGAAAATGTTACTTTTCAAATATGTAAAGCTAAAATCGTACGACAAACACATATTTGGTTGTACAAAAAGATTGTTAGATATAGAACAATAACAATATCTTTGTAAAAAAAAGTATTATTGTCGATACAGGAAAATGTTAAAAATATTTTAAATTCTACCACCAACAATGGGAACGGATCCTTGGAAAATAAAACTAGACACGATGGCCCCTTATCTGTACATCTCGAACCGAAATATTGTAATAAAAAGTACTTAGGATATGACAAATGTGTTGAAACATCCTTATAAAATGTTAACACCCAATTTACGATCATAATTCCTGGACATAAAGGTCGAAGTTGGTTACAGACAATGAATCCAGCAGTATACTTAAATTGGTCATCAATTGACGTAATGCGCCAAGGAATGATATGATTCATCTCGTTTCTTTACAAATTGGGATGAGAGATTCATATTTTTATTCAATTAGATACGCGAGAACTTCCATATGTGTAATGTATTCAATAACACGCTCTATTTAGTATATGATACATAAGCATTTTATACTCTGTTTTTGTCTTCGTTAATATTTAAAGTCACAAAACAAGTCTTCGACATTATAACTTGTTAATAAGCTTAAGAATTCTAAGTAGATACTTATATATAGATGATCTCGTGTATGTCAATAGTCAGATCTTTGTCCGTACGTACACCCATCGCCCCGCCTCATTACCTCCTATACGATACAGCCTCACTTAAATGTACTATCACATTGACCACACCACCCAACCTAACTTGATCTCTCGTTTCAATAAAAACATTAATAAAGTAATCAACATTACATATCAGGTTATGCTGGACACGTATTCCCAATGATGTTTTGAATTTGCAGTTGAATAAATCCAGTTTTTCCTTACACGGTTGTAATAAAGTTGAATATCACGTGGCAGTTATTATGGGACGATAAATAGTTGCGAACACACGTGAATTGGTGTGTGTAGTAACCGCATTTACATTTTAGACATACTTGCAGAGAGTAAATGTCAATTTAGATGGAAGACGGGTACTGATGCAAGAAATTGATGCAGTTATTGAACTCTTGCACGATGATCTGATTGTCGATGTGAAGACAATGGAATAATTAATGAGAGATATCAAATGCGTTTTGAAAGTAACCGTTGTTAATTTGTATAAAATGATTGGTGATCGATATTGAAGGAAAAGTTGTTTTGCAAGTAGATTGATTACAATATTCAAAAGGTATTATTATAAATCGTTCTACTTTATAAACAAGTAGCTAACGGTAGTATCGCAAAAAATTTAGACGGAACATAATTGACAGTTAATTTAGACATTAAGTGACCAGGAAAAACAAAAGCTCTTAATGCTAAAAATGTTAAGTAATTCTAGGAAACCGTTCTAAACTCCATATTTGATTGATCTGACACATTTTTCGACGGACATTCTTTAAAGAACAATCTAAAATCGGCCACACAAATCCGTTTATCTAAATCTTAAGTGACATTTTAATTTCAATTAGTCATAGAACTGTAAACGGTGACCAAAACTGAACAGTACCAACTGACATTTATTCGTTTTCCACTTAACTAAATGCCAGAGAGGGATTATATGTGGATTCCCAGGCATGCTTGGGTCACAGCTGTCTCAGGAAATTTAAAAATTATTGAGTGCACTCACGTACAGAACATTCTGTTTCATTTTTTGCCGAAACGTATACAATAATCGTTTGTGTGTTCTGAGTAAAAAATGATATTTACCGGGGGCGTTAGAGTCTATCCATCAAGCCAGCTCGCTTGGAGAAATAGACAGCTTATCTGGAAACGTTCTATAAAAGGCTCCTACTGAATGGTATCAGCTTAAAAATGACCAATGCAAATTACTTTAATAGTTTCAAAAGATAAATCGAGCAGTATTTCTCTTATCCGTCGGAACTCTAGAAACGTGTGAATTATATCGATTTCGTTCTTTTATTTTTTGCCAACATTCAGTTCTTTGGTTTTTGTTGTTTTTTCATTTCAACGTATAGTCATGATTATTTCTGTAGTCGCCCGTTGATCCGTGTAGTCATTATGTACATTTGTATCCACTTTGTCTGTTTATTTTACATCCTGATCTGGTAAAAAAGTGGAGCTAGACTGGAGCTAATCAGTTTTAAGAATCTTTGTTTAGCAATGCAATGAACTGTATGTACTATTAACTATTTCGAGTTCTGTCCTTATTTTCTGTGTACAATCATCTTCCACTTACCTATCATCGACTACAATGACCTCCGTATCATTCAGTTGTCAACGACAATCAATTCAAAAGGAAGTCCCCACCCAATTTCCTCGGAATCATAAATCCCAGTACTAAGAACTTTCGATCACTCGTGGTTCCGTTGAGCGAGTTCAAAAACCCATTATGTAGGACATTATGAGGAGCCATTGTTTCGCCTGAATGAACCGGCACAATATCTTACGAAATTTCCTAAAAAACCTACCATCGTATTATGGATGTTTATTGTGTCGGTACTTATCTGATTCGAACACCCATTGTCTTTTTGATTTCCATCGGAATTTGAAATTTTAAGGCGCCACGTATGTATTTAATATTCCATCGATATGACGTTTATATAGGCATTTTAATTAGGTGTATGGAGAGTACCACACCCTAAAATGTAAATGATGGTATCGTTTCGAAAATGTAATGGTAGGTTTGCTTATAGCATTACTGTTACCATAGGACCTAGTTGTAACATGAAGTATCAAATCAATCTTTTTTATTGTGAAGCAAATTAATTTGCATAAAATCTTCATAACGGGATGCCACTTTTTATCGACTTTAATAGTCTTTATAACTTATTTAGTTTGCTAAAACTTTGCTTCGGTCATAACTGTTTAAGCTATTTTAATATCTTTATTATTTGATGCATTGTCATTGAAATATTTGATATATTTATTTCGACGTTTCTTTGAACGTTGCTCTACTTTGTTATTGCTTATTCGTGGTTTGTTACATTTTCTTTTTCTTAATAACTGGCTTATAATTTACTGTTTTCGTTAACAGTTCTATCTTATCTATAATCTCCATAAATTAGAGGCAATAAACACGAAGTACTGTCGATGTACAATTGTTTTTCTATATTCGCACTATCGCCGGCAAGTCGTGAGCTATTAACTCGGTTACAACCAAAACTAGGGCTGAGCACCAATAAATATTTTAACGTCAAAGCATGCGCAACACAGTCACATATTTCTCTTATAGGAACTATATCAATTATAAACGTTAAATCAACATCTATAAGGTTTAAATCATCATTATTATGAATGTTTTCTTCTAATCTTTCATCATCATTGTCTTCAAAAACTTTTCTATCTTCGTCAACCCTAACACCGGATCAAAAGTACCCTCATTCATTAATAATAACCTGCTCTCTCTAAACCCCGTCCGTTATTACAATCACGATTCATGCACGACTTATGTAACACACAAATTATCTAGCTACATGTTAACATCCATTGTGTTGTGAGCTCTAATCTACATAAGTATAGGTATTAATTCGTCTTTCAAAAACGATTTTGTAAAAAAAGCGACGGTATTTCGACATAGCAGCGTCTCAAGTTTAATTCTCTTTAAAACTTTACACGCGAGAATTCAATACAATACATACAAGTATGTGTTGTAATGATGAGTGCAAAAGTGGTTAGGAAAAGGGGTAATTAAAAATATTTCACTAAGCCAATTTTGTCATATTAAATTTCAATACTCAATCATATTAACAAGTAAAAATATAGTCAAGAATTCCAAATACTCTCATTTATTACATGGTAACCAAATGTAAATTACCGAGACGTTAATCGAACTCATATTTTATTAGCATTTAGATATGCAATCGCATTATAACAAAAATTTAACCGTAAAATCAATAAGGAACGCTTCGGTTTCCTAAATAAAACGTCTCAAGCATTTGATTCTCGCTCCACACATTCGTTTCTATTTAAAAGATAAGATCTTTCGTCTTATTAAAAAACAAATCGATATACAAAAAGAGGTTCGTGCACCAGTGTACATAGAGCAAGCGTCAACGATCACTCACAATAGCCCGCTCCACAGTGACTAGGAGAAAACATTGATTAATTACCATAATAATTTATTTGATACTCCAAAACTTGATATGGGGAGGGGCCGCTTATACAACCCGCCCGACGTTTAAGTTGTTTTTGAACTAAAAACTTCCAACTATGAAGCATGTAACGCAAACGTGAACGGAACAGTTCATAAAGACTCGCTAGTTTTAAAATATGATGAAAACACTACATTGTTCGTCTGAATATGATGCATGGAGGTGATTTGGCTGTTCCAAACAAAAGAATAAGTTTGACGGAAAAGGAATGGATGAATGTATCGTTAGTTATGATTGTTTCGTTGCGTATTAGCATAATATAGTTTTTTGTTTGTATCAACATGTTTTTTCGTTTTTGTATAGGTCTGCTCTCGGCGTTGAATCATTTGGACCAGGCACGGAAGAATTCTTTGCAGACCACAGTCGACTACTCCAGATACGTTAAGAGGTATTGCTACTGATTATTCTAAATATAATTTAGCTGTCACTTTTTATAGTGTACGTTGGTGCGTGAATATTTTTCGTGATCAATTTGAAGAATTATTAAATTGTTATCAGAAGTCATGATGACGTTACGTGTGGATTTTTTACTTCAGTAGAAATACATATGGATATTAATTTGTGTAATGATTTTAATAAGTTTTGTACTATTGAAGTTGTTTTGTATAATGTTGATACTCTATTAGTTAGTAACAAGAATTCTAATAATTAAGAGGTCAATGTATAAAGAACAAAAAGTAATGATGTTTTGTTTGATAAAGTTAAAACTCTACAGCAAAAGTTGACTGCCTCGTTGGCCGAGTGGTCGCAAGTGCGACTGCCGGGCAAGCGGTCTCGGGTTCGATTCCCGGGTCGGGCAAAGTATTAATGGGTTTATTAAAAAATATAAATAGTAGCACGGAGTCTGGAATTGTGCCCGGTATATGGCAATAGGCTCACCCCCTATTACATCGGACTCATAACATAAATAGTGAAAAGCGGGTATTACATTTTACAGTGGCATACTTTGCCTTCCTCTTCGTGGATAAAAGGCGTGATGTTATGTTATGTCTACAACAAAAGGTTTTAATTAAAATGGTATGTTCCACAGGTACAGCTCAACTTTAGAATGTGGTTCCTCATACTGCAAGGACCTGGGTTACCGGGAGCATTTCCACTGCATGGACTGCACTGCCAGGGTGTTCTGCAAGAAGGAGGAGATGATTAGACACTTCAAAGTAAGTTTGTGTAGATATAAAGAATGATATGAAAAAAGATGGACGACTCGAGTTTAATACTGTATTCTAATCAATTCATATGGAAGTTGTCGATATTAAATAGAGTACACTCTAAAATCGTAACTATTTTTAACCGATATTAAAAAAGAAGGAGGTTTACTTTGACCTGTATATATGTATGTTTGTATGTTTGTGCTCTATTATATAGCGATTGGTTAAACCGATTTTGAAGTATGCTTAGGAGAATATTTTAGTATATTAATTACTACATACTACATTCAAAATAGAAAAGAGGGTATTGAAGTCGGTTTATTTAAACTTATATAGAAGAATTATTATTCACAATAGAAATACCTTTTATAATACATTGAACTAAGAAAACCCAAGTGTTTTCTACGTAGTCAAAACATAAAACAGAGCTTAACACGTTAAACGCCGTGGGGGTCACCGGTGACCGACGTTAGTGGAGGATTTGCCTTCGTCAGTTTTCTATTGGCAGTCAAAGGCTTAATTATACCTAATTTAGTTTACAGCATAGTAATATTAACAACATATTTTTCCTTTTCTACAGTGGCACAAGAAACGCGATGAATCTCTAGCCCATGGTTTCATGAGGTACTCTCCCCTGGACGATTGCTCTGAAAGATTCAGTGACTGTCCTCACAACCGGAGTCAAACCCACTACCACTGCATCCAAGATGGCTGCGATAAGGTAAGAATTGTAATCAATATCAGCATTAACATTAATAGCATTAATATTATTATGGTTAGCATGGTCTCTGCTTATCCCTTTGTGTATTATACATGGAGTTTTGTATTGTTTTTTATCATCATTAACTCCTGTATTTTTATTATTTATTTCTGGGATACCTTATATACCGAAATATTTATTATAATGTATATTTTATATAAATTTGCGGTTATTTAGTCTAAAGTGGCAAGAACTTCGTATATTTTAGTTTATACTTAATGATATATAGATTATTCTAATTTATACAAAGAAAACAAAACATGAACAAACACCAGTGATCTCAATGATGATATTAGCACAAAGCCAGGATGCTGCCCTTCCTTCAGATAAAATCTATTTTACTGAAGACAGGAAGCACAGTACTTCATCAGTCATTGACCCAATAATAATATACTTATCCCAAACTGAATTTATATAACATTACAACAAAATCTAGAAAGAAAAATTTAAGTAGCACTTATTAACGCCATCTATCGAAGTGCGTGGTAAATGTTTACCTGATTCCAACGTTGTTCTTTGGTTTTTGTTTTACGTGGCTGTAAATCTCATTTAGTAAAAGAATTGCCCTTCATTTGCTCTTTCTATAAACACTTTGTGAGAAACAAGTCATTTATTAATTATATTACTTGTCTAAGCTCATCAAACATTCATATTTAAAACGACTAGTCAAGCGTCACTCAGCTACTTGATATCGACCTCATATTTTTTTTAAATTACTGAGAAACTTTTGTAATTAGAGAATCACCAGCCAATTACAGATACTCAGAAATTGTTGTAAAGAATCATATAAATTAACACTTGCGGAACAAATGAGTATACCGCATCAGACAACTTGTATGAAGATAAAAACTAAATACAAGAAGAAACTGAAAAAGAAAGGCAAAACCCTCGTTAAAAGAATAAGGAAGAAGATGAAATAAAAAGCAATGTATTCAAAATTCAATGTGATTCTCAAAATCGTACTGTACAAACTGTATCAAAGTTATAAATGTGAACATATGAATGTTTGTTACTCAACAATCAACATGGTTAATCAGATCTAGACAATGAACACATATATTCACTTGTAACTTACATACATACATAACCTCACGCTTCTCTCCCATGTGAGTAGGCTGAGACTATGGAATTCCAATTGCTACGATTGATACACACCTCCTTTATCGACAGTCACTTTTAACCTGAGAAAATAGATAGTCTAAGCATTTCCACGTGAATGACTCCATAAACAGCAGCATTATAATTGTTTTCTTCATTTGCAGGTATACATATCAACTTCAGACGTGCAAATGCACGCCAATTATCACAGGAAAGACTCTGCTATCCTTCAGGAGGGTTTCCAAAGGTTCAGAGCTACTGAGAGCTGTGCTGCACCGCATTGCGTCTTCGCCGGTCAAAGGACCACGCATTTCCATTGTAGACGACCTGGATGCACTTATACTTTCAAGAATAAGGCTGATATGGGTGAGTAGAAGACATTAAATAAATGGTGTAATGGTATAAATCGCTAATTCTTTGTCAGAATTGGTAATAGTAATATGTAATATAACACTACATCTTGTTAATAAAAAATAGTAAAATATGCAGTTTGAGTTACTTAAATAGATAATCAAGATTAGAAAGGTTTAATAAATACAAAAACGATAGACATTATCAATATAGTAGAATTTAAACATAACAACAATTCTAAACCCAGTAACAATATATTTACAGAAAAACACAAGACATACCACATCAAAGATGAAGCCTTATCTAAAGATGGTTTCAAGAAATACATGAAGAATGAAGCTTGTCCCTACCGGGACTGTCGGTTCAGCAAGACGTGCAACCATATCCACTGCATCAGACCCCATTGCAACTACGTGCTGCATTCCAGCAGTCAGATCTTCACTCATAAGAGGAAGCATGAGAGGAAGGAACAAGAAATGAGCTTTGGGTAAGTATTTATCAATATTAGTACCAGAAATATAATCGTGTTCACGGTGATCTTATGGTTTCCACCAAGTTTCTTAGGTTAGGAGTTCCCTAAAATTTAAGAGAAGTAAAGACGTTTTGGTTTGCACCACTCTTTTAATGACACCTAACAGTACAGATAGGGCGCTAGGCTTAGGCGCTCCCTAACAACTCTTAGTTAAGATATTTCGGTAAAAATAGCTTAAGTGACAAACGTATCAAACTTTTGAGAAAAGTTAAGACTTAAAACGACCATATAAAGAATGATGGGAACGTTAACAAAATGGGTTCTTGTAATCGTAATAAAATAAATGAATCAAAATCAAAGTAACATGCACTTAATCACGTACGTCTTCAAGTAGTTAGCGACGAAATCACACATATTTATTCCGAGCACAAGCTCATCATGAATGACATTGTCGCTAAAACTGAGTCATACCCCTCAATTGATATACGAAGCAAGAATATCATTAGATACTTGCTTCGTATATCATTATCATTATATAAAATCACTAGATTTTCTCATGTTACAGTGCCTTTTCACTAATTATGGGTTCCCATAATATCCCCCAAAGTATTATTGCGAAGTTTATATACTATAAGTTACTGCTACTTATGGTGGTGAACTAGATACAAATGTCCAAAAATGGAACCGATTTTAGAGTATATAAATTTTCACAATTGTCTGTAACAGCAACGTCAATTTTTTTGATTCACAGACTTCCTACTTCGGTGATTCAGAGTGCGCTGATGCAACCAGGAGCTGACTTAAGCATGTATTCTCCAGGAGGAAATGTCCTCGTCGATGACGATATGTCCAATCCAATGATGGATTCTGACTACCCGCATCCATTTGTAAGTAACAATTCCACACTTAGTCATTTATATGAAGTGATTATTGAATGAGATGACGACGCAGAGAACGTAATTGAAAGATTTTATGCCACTCGAGTTTTGTTAGTGTTAATAGAGTCATTTTATGAAGTGTAGCTAGTTGTTATTGGTAAAATGCGTATCGTACATGGTCGGTCATAGTTCTAAATGGTGAGTTCGATTTTGGTTAGTTTTGTTGGTGAATCAATTTGTTCGCGACTGTATCTCGTGCCTAAATTCTACATACGCCTTCAAAAAATCCAACAACAAGGCTTAACAACAAGGAAAATATATGTAAATCAGTACATTGTTTTACAGAATCCGGCATTAGTTGAAGAGATTTCAAGGAAATATATTGAGACATTTAATGGAGGCAAAGAGGCTGAGGATAAATGCAACAAATGCAGCGCTTTCAACAAGCATTATCATTGCTTGGCTGACGGCTGTAAAATGGCACACAGGTGAGTATCAAAATATGAAGAAAACTTTTAAAACAAGTTGAAAAGGACTTCGGTCATTAACTTAATTCCATTTGTCTCCTCAGCTGTCACACTACAATGGTAAAACACGTGATGGAACACGAGCAACAGAACCAAGTCACTGAAGCCTACTTCGTAACGTACACTCGTCACAACCCTTGTGGCAACTCAGCCTGCCAACACATCAGAGACATCACCCACTACCACTGCACCTGGGAAAACTGTGGAGCAGTCATCCTATCCTCTGAAGAGCACCCATTCAGACGTCTAGAGCATCATCGCCAACACGCGATTCTGAGCCCAATGTCTCCGAACTTAGCATCCAGATTTGCTCCAAACTTCACACCTCAACTGTCCGCTCAGCTGCATCCGAATATGGCAGCTCAACTCGGTCAAGTCCCGAATTTACCCAGTCTTCCGCCAAACTTGGCACAATTAGCCCAAATGGCACCAAGCTTGTCTTCACAGTTGACACCCAACTTGCAAGCTCAGTTGAACCTTGGACCTAATCCTGGAGTAGTTCCTCAACAAGTCAACCCATCGAGTTCATTAGATGAAATGTTCAGCAGAAAAAGGGGCAGGCCCCCGAAGAACAGAGTCGTGGAAGTCTATACTGACAATATCACTCCAACCGCCATATTCACGTCGTTCAAGTTACCGAAGAGTAATCAGTTACCGCCGGTCATACAGTCACCGGTTATTCCAACAATTGAAGAATTCCCTGTAAGTATTTTTAAACAGAAAGACAGTAATTTTGTATTTTTAAGAAACGTATGATTAATGTTTCGGTTTTTCTTCACAGCGCATCAAGTTCCAACACTTCGAAGTGTTCACCAGCCCTGACACATGCTCGTCCTCCTATCCCGCCTGCCAGCTCCGTATGGCTCGACTACATCTTCACTGCTCCAACTGTAGCTTTGCTGGCGAAACTCACATTATCATGGAGACCCACATGAGGGAAGTTCATGGTGTCAGTCCATTATTAGAAGGATTTGATTATTTCGCATCATTCGACCAGTGTGGTGGAAAGAGCTGCTTCAAGAACCAATTGCGATCTCATTTCCACTGCGCCCAGGGTAACAACTGCCCAGCGATTTTGACTCAATACTCCGCATTAGCCACTCACAAACACGGCAGGGGTACTCCTGTGATCAAGAGTGAGACAGATCAGGAGAAGCAATTCGAGGAAGCCAAAGATTATTCTTTGAAAGAGCGAGCTTCAGTAGATAGTGTTAGTTCCATGAAGGAGCCCAACGAGTCATTCACACCAGCGAACTTCTCAATCAAGAGTGAGTTTGAAAGAGAACAGGATAGCGTGTCCGGTGAGTATTTTTCTATGAAATTACATAGCATTAGACATTTTCTAGTGTTCCTAATCTTAAATCAGTATTAGACGATATTTAAATCTCATGCCACATTAAACTGATCTTGAAACCATATTTATTTCAGTAGTAAAAGCGACCGGTACCTTCTACCCGTCATCACATCTCCGGAGTAACACTTCGTCTCCGTCACCAAGAAGCATCTATGATGCCTCACCATCAAAGGAACTGAAACCCCGTATGGATTATGACCAGAAGAAAATGTTCGAGCCACCGAAGATCACAGGACCTACCATCCCACCTTCATGCCATGATCAGACCTGTCCTTTGAACAAGAACTCAACAGGAATGAACCTGCACTATCATTGTCCTCATTGCAGTCAAGCGTATGTGGATCTGAAACTGCTGTTCAGTCATATGGTGAAGAAACACAGTAATTCCATGGAGCCTGGTCCAGTTGGACTAGCTGCCACTAAGGTGAGCTACTTTTTGGTCCCTTGTTTTGTTTATTGAAGTATAAATTCATCATTCTCAAAATATTAGTTTAACCTTTATCACAATTGTGTTAGTTGGCATTTTGTCAACTTCTATTTAGGTTTTAATAAAAGGCGCCGTCCTCAAAATAGTGGTTATGTATAATTAGATTCTGTGAACACTAATTTAGGAATATTGACGTCAATCTATTGTATTGTTTGTAACAACAATTATTATTGTACTTTGACAAGTTTATACCATTCAACTAAGATTGTGTTTTTGCGCACAGGAGACTTTGGAGAGGGAATATCCTGAGATATCGATATTGCCTTCAACTGCATCATCATCGTCTACCAGCCAAGCACCTTCTCCTAGCCACAGTCAGCGACCTCCAAATCCTGCTGATCAGGTAAATACGAAATTAAATAATTTATGTAATTTATAATCTTTTATTTTACGAACATTTTGGCAAGTACCTGCGACCATTCCTGAGTCAGTCATGTTGAATTTTCAGTAATAGTATCTACTAACTCAGGATATAAATAAAACTTATTTGAATTCATCACCTTCATTTACAGGTGCAGGTAGTGCAAAGCCTTCTTCTGCAACAGTATCTAGCAGGTGGCAGGAAAGGAAGTCTGCAGGAACAGCTGAAGATGCAGCAGCAGTATACAGCTTCATTAGCTGGTCTTCCAGGACTAGCACAAGTTGCTTTATTCTCACAGGGGTAAGATGAATATATACATTTTTAAAACTATCATTTCTCTTGCTTATATTTACGTTTATGCTTTAAGCATTAGAGTTATAAGATCTTTTTTAATTACCAGTTTTGTCTCTTTATTACCATCTTTGAAGTCGACAAGTGCTAATGATTTCATTCCTTCTTTCCAGTGGTTCTCCATTCTCTCTGTACCCAACAATGCTGTACCCACCAGAGCTGCTGCTGGAACAGAGTCTTCTTCAAGGTCATGGTCTTCCACCAGGTCTGGATAAGGAAGCAGAAATGATTGCCAAGACGTGAGTTGAAATATTTTGATTTGTATTCCTTCCTTTCTTTACGTTTTTTATATGTTGCTTGAAGATTATTAATGATATTTTTAACTGTAATTTAGCTTATAGGACAATATAATTAGTTTCTCTTTTTAAAAATATCTACTTCATTAGTATTCTTTGCCACGCACATAACTACCAATTTTAATGTAGCATGCATTAATGCATTTTTTTCTATTGTCACTTCTGTATCGTTCTATCTTTACTTTTCTTCTTTAAAATCTTCATCTACATAGTGAAATCTTCAAACCATACTAAAATTGCTTATAACGTCAGCAGGCGAACCCATACCACGCGTGGTCCTCACATGCGCGTCATGAAAGATGAGCCTATCCCTGAAGGCTACCTCCGCTTCAGATTCAACGAGGACTGCGCTTACCAGCACTGTGGATACAGGTAAGCAGAAAACTGTAACGTTTTGACATTCAACTTCTCTCCAAAGACTTTCTTTGTTATGTAAAGTTTAGTTGAGGACTTGATCAAAAGAATTTTGGGAGTAATATATAATACTAGCTACTTCCGCGCGGTTTCATACGCTCTGCTCAGCTCCTGTTGGTCGTAGCGTGATGTTTTATAGCTTATAACCATCCTTGATAAATGCGCTATCCAACACAAAAAGAATTATTCAAATCAGACTTGTAGTTACGGAGATTAGCGCGATCAAACAAACAAAAAAAAATAGCTTTATATAATAGTATAAGATATAGCCTTTGTATAGTCTAAGTTATTAATGGTTTGTGAATCCAACAATGTAAGAGTAGGTAGTTAAGTAGTCCTTTCGAACAAACTTCTATACCATAAAGTTTATAGTATCACCCTTTATTGACATCAAAAAATCTCTGAAGTATGGTAGAAATCAGTATAAATCAGTTTCAAAATTTTTAACCTTATTGCTCTTGTTTTTACAGGGAGCATCAAACGCATTTCCATTGCACGAGAAAGGATTGTGGCTACTCATTCTGCGACAAGACAAGATTCGTCCAACATACTGCTAGACATGAAAGGTAAATATTGTATTATCATTTGCATCATCTCATCACATCACTTCAACCTACAAGTGGCTACTGCTGACCAGAGGCCTCTTCTAGCACCAAGAAGGTTTGAGCGTTAATCATTACGTTTGCTCAATATGGGTTGGCGATTTCAACTTACAATTAGAAATTATGAGCCCAGGATCCTCACGATATTGTCAAGTGTTCTACACGTGCAGCTTGTGGGCCGGCTATACTTTGCGGACTATCAGCGCCCTGCGAGTCCAATATAATAATGGGTTCAGAATGTTGATGGGACTGCCCCGTTTCTGCAGTGCATCTGGCATGTTCGCTCAAGCACACGTTGATGACTTCCATGCCATTATCAGACAGAAGTCTGCATCGCTGCTCTGCAGGGTGCGGGCCAGTTCCAACTCCATCTTGAAAACCATTGCAGGGAGGTACGATTCACCTATAATACATGGTATCGTGCGAAGATGTATTCCCAACAGTAGGCTTGTAACAATATCTCTATAGGTACTAACATAGTTTTTAAGATTTTAAATGTTTTCTTACTAACCCCTATGGATGCTTCACTTGTCCGAAATAAACGTTATTTTATTTTATTTTATTTATTTATTTATTTTCCTTCACCGTTTGTCAGTGGTGTTTAAATAATCTTAAGTAGGTTTCGAACTAGTATCCTCATACATGAGAAGCGGGCATCTTAAACCTCCGAATCACCACACCACAGCTTAATTTGAATCATCTTCTTTATCATCATGTCAGTCACAGTGATCTACTGCTGAGCATAGCCCTCGCTAATGGCTCCCATTTATTGGGTGTTATTGGGAGACTAGACTCCTTTGAAAATTATCTCATTCAAAGACACAGCCCCTCAAATATTGAACCGTTATTTAATAAATACTAAATTGTTTTTTTGATTATTAATAAATAAATTTATGTTTCAGATTGGACACGTTGATGGGCGGTGACTTCCAGCAGTACAGAGCTAATGTCTACTGCAAGCGACCGGAGTGCCCACATGCGTCGACATTCGGTAAATATTCCATTTGTATTACGATAGTAATCTTTTGTATCTAAAGTGAAAAGGCATCCCATATCTATTTGACTAGAAAACCGTGTCCAGAGTTTGCCCCTTTGCGACGTGAAGAAAATCAAAAGAGACAACACAATTTAGCATTATTTGGGACTCTTAACACTTTGAGATGTAACCCATATTTTTTTATCATCACATTAAAACGTATTGACTTAGTTTTTGTGTGAAAATTAATAGAAATTAGAAAGAGACTCATTCGCTACGATTCTACATTTTTGTAGTTCACGTATCAAATAAGAGATGGCGTTACTGTACAGTATGTTTGCTAGTTTTACCTTTTTTAATTAATTTTGTTCCTGTGCTTTTTACTTTCTATACTTGATAGTAAAATGTCTACTTCATATTTAAAATGTATTACAATGTTTTTTTTTCAAAATTATGCTAAATTAGACGTTTCTTTTGCCACAAGGAACAGGACAGAACAAGGCATCTCACTTCCATTGCCTAAAATGTGACTTCGTGTGCACCGACACCAATAAGGTCGTCGCCCACCGTCGGCAGCATCAGAAACTCGATTCCATCCAGGCTGCTGGCTTCGAGAAGTTCCCACCTAGCAAAGGTAAGATAAAATTTGTACCTTATTTGTTATGTGGTGCTAAAGATCAGTTATATCTCAATACAGCTCCATAAAAATGACCAGTATTTTACTAGGACCAATGAAAATTGCGTTTTATAAGTGACAATTTTAAATACAAAACAATTACTGATAATGCAAGCATGCATCAACATGAATAACTTTGGACCTCAAGCTTCATGAACTTTGCAGTCTAGCAGCAGTAGCAACGGGGTGGTTTTAGTCAGTACCAGTCTGACACTCCCATTCGCCTCACCCAAGACCGGAAAAGTCATTGGATAATTTTCCCTCTCAAAAAAGGCCTAATGAATAGCCTCAATCTTATCACTCAATCAATGATCGTTAAACTTGTCATCCTTTAGTTTATCAACATAACATAACATCACGCCTTTTATCTTCGAAGGGGTAAGCAGAGGCACATTATACCACTGTACAATGCAACACCCACTTTTCACTATTTATGTTATGAGTCCCATGTAATAGTGAACCTATTGCCATATACCGGCCTTACCGGGCTCAATTCCAGACTCCGTGCTACTACTGAGAATTTTTTTTTAAAACCCATCGTATATGGGTACATACATACTTCGCCCGACCACTCGGCCAACGAGGCAGTCAATATTTAGTTTATCAATGTCTAACAAAGTCTTTTTCTTCCCAGGTTGTGGCTACGAGCCTCAATGCATCCACAGCAAGAAGCAGACCCATTACCACTGCTTACAGTGCGGTTTCGCAGTCCTCGGCCTCTCTCAGATGACGTCACACAAGTACAAACACCAGGAAGCGAACCTTGGACCCTCCACCAGCGGTACCAACTGACTAGAGACTTAACGAAAAGTGACTTGAAACAAACTCAAGATATGAACCTAAGACTTTCGAAAAGTGAATATTGTGGAAAGAATGTGTGATTTGTAGCACAGTTGTTTGTCTGAAATTCAGGCTAGATATGTTTTCAGAAGTGCCTAGTGTTTTAGGAGACCTAAAATGTCATTCAGACTTAGTATTTCGATTCGATGAAATTGTAGAATTAGGAACGTTGTCGCGTCACTCAATTTTAGAGCGTCATAAGACAGTGATAGAGTTTATATTGTAATGTCACTGTGTCGTAAACTTAGACCCTAATTCTACTGAAATCTATCTATGAAGTAGATTCCCCAATAACTTGTGCCTTAGTCACAAACTGGATAACTTAGTGGCAAATACTTTTGTGCCAAAACAGAACTAGTTGAAAACTATTGTTGAATTTATTGAAAAGCGATTATAATATAATGGGCGTGAGGAGTCGTGTGTTTAGTATATTTTCCTAAAAATGTATGAACAAAAATGTGAATAACCCATATATGCAACCGCATGCATGTCTATCTAGTTATAGCAACAACCTTTATATGTTTCACAAGTTACTTTGGTCCTTTAAACTTAAATTGCAGTTAAGTAGACTTAAATCCAAAGGCTGTTGCTAAAATGTAGATAAAAATATATTTAAAGTGTGTATTTCCTAAATCCTGACCAATCTTAGTTGTTAGTTTATATAAATATTTATATTTATTACTTCCCCATGAAAAAGACATTTTTACGAATAGTATTATTAAATGTAGAACTTCGTGAAATTATATTAAAAACAAATCATATTTAAGGCAATAATATTTGGGTTAAGAACGCCACTTTGTGCCTGGAGGGTAAAATTCATGACAATATCGTCTTTTGGGATAAATTCTGGTAGAAAAAATACTCATTAAAATCCCTCCCTTATCGACTTATTTAACATCAAAATACGCCTCACTATCAGAAATTATCGCAAAACAATCTAGTTTTACATTCGAAAAATATTATATTTAATAAAAAAAAACATATTTAATTAAAAAAAACGTCAATTCTATAACAAAATACAACTTGTAAATAAGATTAGATTATATTATAAAAACGTAATGTTAATAAAAATGTAATTGTTACAGAAATATTGGTAAAAAAAATTATTAATGTGTAAAAAAAGCATTAGGACATTATATGTACAGAAAAAAAATCAAGTGCTAATGTTTGTGATTCATGAGGTAGCCATAAAATGCCATATATTTTCAATTTAAGTAATAATTTTAATTGTTTCCATCTGCGTTACGATATTTTGAACTTTGTCCTGTAAAATGAAAGAGAACAATATTTTATAGTATTAACTCGCAATTCTCGCAAAGTCATAATCTCGTAACAAGATCTACACATTTTTATTTCAGTATTAGATTATATATTTGTGTCCTTCTATAAAACACCTTTTGCATTCCTGAGTTTTGATTCCTGGCGTCCGTTTGAGCCAATTAGTTTTAGAAAATGATCGGTGTTGGTATATCGATCATTTCAGTGACCAAAACTGTTTAAGCCCTACCCCTAGCATGTATCATCAGTATTTTGTAGCCTAAGCTCTATTCCATTGTTCCTATTACGTCATCTCTGAAAATATGTTTAATTTTTAATTTATAAACTATTTTAATCTTCAACAGTTCACTTATAGTAAAATAATTTAAGTAAAAATCGTTCTTTCATAATTTATAATCTTGAAATTAAAAATTAAAAACACACAAAATGTCTCCGAATTTTTTAATTTAACTTAAAATTTTTATTTTGTAAATTGTCCGAAAATAAATCGTAGAACCGAATTTTATACATAGAAATTATAAATTCTATCTATTATTTTGTACAGCGGTATAATTTCACTGTTAGACTTTAGTTTATTATTTTAGCACTTCTCATTTATTTAATTTTTATCAAAATAGGCCGTGCCATAACGAATTAGTCAGATTGTATTAAGAAATATCTTATTACCGTTTTGGTCTGAACATCTATTTTATAAAAAGGCATACACTTTAGAAAATACATTAAGTATTATCCTTGTGTTATCCAGGATAAAGTAATATTTTTCAAGTATAAACTCTTCTTCGAGTCCCTCTGACATAAAACGAATAAATAAAAATAATCGGCTCACTTACGAATCGGCATTAAATAAATAAACTCACTATTTTTGTTGTTTGTTATCTAATTTTATTTTCTCTGTTTTTATTTTCAACTCTTTTTTTAAGTTTTAATTTCACAACATTTTTTTTATTGAATTTAAAAAAATATAATTTAATCGCGTATTTATGTATTTTAGAATACGTAGCTTTAATTGTAATCTTCGTTAATTTAAATTTAAATAAACAATGATTTGTCCCTATTATTTGTATCAGTATTTTGTCTGCTAATGTCGACTGGAGTGTTTTTCAAAACCTGTTTTTTACAAAAAATAAATAAATACAGAATGCGTGTGGTACAAAATTGTTTAAAGTAATAAATGTTTGACAATTGTATTGTGAAACATTCAGTTTGTTTGAATTGGTATGATATAGTTTAGTATTGTTTACCTCATGAGTTTTAGGAATAAAACGAGAATTATCCTTATAACCTGGTGATTTTATTTCTTTACATCACATATACATATCAACAGCCTATAAGTGGCCACTGCTGACCAAAGACCTCTTCCCACACGGAGGTGGTTTGAGCATTAATCACTACGCTTGCTCATTGCGAGTTAGCGATGTCAAACTTATAATTGGAAATTATAAGGCCATGTTTCCTCACGATGTTTTCCTTCACCGTTTGTCAGTGGTGTCTAGATAATCTTATTTAAAGTACATATAACTCGGAAAAAGTCACATTGGAACTTGCTGTCGGTAGGTGTCGTACCCTTCATGGATGAGAAGCATCGTCTTAAGCTCCGGGCCACCACGACATTTTCTTTACTTTAAAACCCTTATATTATTACTCACGTCGAATGCCCAAAAAGTCAATAGTAGGTATACTAGGCAACTACAATGTACCTAGTACATATTTATCTTTGTTCAAGAATTAAAGAAATCATTTTAAATATATAGATTTTAAATGTAGGTACAATCATCGACATAGGTACTAAATTAACTTAAAATGGCAGGTTACTCACTTGAAAATACTGAGAAAACTTTTTTTTTTATGGAATAGGAGGCAAACGAGCAGACGGATCACCTGATGGTAAGCGATCAGCGCCGCCCATAGACACCCGCAACACCAGAGAAGACACAGGCTTTTTAAAAAGGAGTACGCTCTTATGCTCTCTCTCTTAAGAGAGAGAGAGAGAGAGAGAGAGAGAGAGAGAGAGAGAGCATTATTCTTAGTAGGTACCGAGTAGGCTGCGCGACGTCGCCGCGACCGCGCACGCTGTTCATGAGGAAGAGCTCCTCTGTGGCTTGAAATTAGTAGAGCTTTTCTCAGTATATTCCCGTAACTCGCGTTTTTTAGTTTATTTAGATTTCAAATTGTCTGCCACATTGGCCGAGTGGTCGCAAGTGTGACTGCTGGGCAAGGGGTATCGGGTTCGATTCCCGGGTCGGGCAAGGGTTACCTGAGTTTTAAAAAAAATCTCAGTAGTAGCACATAGCCTGGAATTGTGTCCGGTATATGACAATAGGCTCACCCCCTATTACATAAGAGCCATAAGATAAATCATGAATAGTGGGTGTTACATGGTATAGTAGCTCTAAGTGCCGTAATGTGCACTCTGCTCCTCTCACCGCTGCCTACCCCTTCGGGGATAAAAGTCTGATTATAAAATTTCAAAACAAAAAAAATTCCTAAGTCATTTACTGATCATAAAGACTCCTTCAATTAGAATTACTTCACTTGAGGTTTCGGGTTCGATTCCAGACTCATTTGTAACGGCTCTTGAATATAAAAGTTACTCCTACTACCTCCATTACTCTCTGTTTCAGGAATGGCGTGTTATTCTATTCGAAATAAAAAATAAAAGAAAAATTTAAACTATTTTAATTCGCTGTTCTAACTTTGATCCCAAAACCGTTTGTCAAATATGGGGATCATAGCAAATATTAGCCTGAGATAAAAACTTTTATTGCGTAGTAAACATATTCAAGTATTAAATGTGGTAGAGCCATAAGTGTGGTAGGGCCATAAGTGCGGTAGTACCATAAGTGTGGTAGGGCCAAAAGTGCGGTATTGCCATAAGTGTGGTAGAGCCATAAGTGCGGTATTGCCATAAGTGTGGTAGAGCCATAAGTGCGGTATTGCCATAAGTGTGGTAGAGCCATAAGTGCGGTAGTGCCATAAGTGTAGTAGAGCCATAAGTGCGGTAGAGCCATAAGTGTGATAGAGCCATAAGTGTGGTAGAGCCATAAGTGTGATAGAGCCATAAGTGCGGTAGAGCCATAAATGCTGTAGGGCCATAAGTGCGGTAGAGCCATAAGTGTGGTAGAGCCGGCACGAATGGGCCGGCGCGACCGGAGTGATACCACGGCCTCACCGAAAACCGACGTGAAACAATGCTTGCGTTGTATTTCGTCGTGTGAGTGAGGTTACCGGAGGCCCAATTACCCCCTCCCCCCTTCTCAGTCTCTCCAATCCCTGAATCCAAACAATCCTCAAATTCCCAATCCCTAAAAGGCCGGTAACGCACTTGTGCGGTGAAACACCATGGTGCGTCCAGTGTGGCGTGCATGGGCGGTGCTGATTGCTTACCATCAGGTGATCCGTCTGCTCGTTTACCGGCTTATACCATAAAAAAAAGTTGCTGATAATAATGGTGAAAATCAAAACTACCCCTTGCAAATTTTGACCCGCTGACCTGTCAAAGTTAGTGACATCAGTTGCGTCCAATTCGCGGTCGTGTACAGTTGTTTACGCTCGCTCATTAAAAACTATTTTTGTAAACAAATCCACGGCTTTTAATGTACAATTTCACGTACACTATGTTAAAGTTAAATTTTATAGTGTAGTTATAATGTAGTGAAGTTATTTTCTGTACTGTGGATTGTAGTGTGATTTTTAAATGGTAGAAAAAATTGTATGTATCTGGCGTGCTAGGCGTACAACGGGACACACTGCCAATTGATGTAAGTACCCCATAATTTGTTACAATTTGAACGGTCGACGATAGGTCACTTCACTATGTATGTAATGTAATATATGTTCGCGTTTGTTTTTGTTTTAGTTAGTGGTTCAATGTGTGTTTGTCTGTCATTATTTTACACAGTAATTTAGCGGTTTTCTTGTATGATTTTCGTGTAATAGTTTAGTTTTAAAAATGGTGTAATCAAGTTGGTAATCGCAAGGAAAGCCGGTGAAATATAAATGATAAATTGTGTATATGTCAACTGTACTTGCAATTGAATGGTAAATGAGTGATTTATAGTACTTATATATTCCAAATGTCTTGAATAAATTTCCCCTCCTCTATGTTTAAAACGTCTCTATATTATTATGTATAATGGTGAATGGGTAGGACATTTAAATGTGTGTGGTTTTCTTCGTGATTTTGTGCTTATAATAGGTGTAGGTCGGTTTGTTATTTTCTGTTTGAGTGGGCGTACAACTCCTGCCTGCCCTCTGAAGAAGAACTGGTATGATGTTACGTATGGAGTATCTACAAAGTCTGCTAAATTTGTTCCAAAACCGCATCTTATCGGTTTTCTCAGAAACTAGGTTGCGGAGGTCAGATGTCGGTCGTTTTAAGCAAATTTATTACACACTAACTTTTGACCCCGACTTCGTTCATGTTCAAAAATCCAGGTCTTTCTGTTTTCATAGCAATTTTGGAAAGTTATCTCCATCGTTGTTATCGAAATCTCTCAATATCTGCTACAGCGAGCCACTGTTAGATAATGGATTTCTTCTACATATGCACGATGAATTTTTATTACATAGTGTTGAAACGAAGGGAAGTAGGCGAAGGAATAGGTCGTGGCTGCGCAATATTCGGTAGTGGACTGGTATCAGCTCTGTGGAACAACTTTTCCGCCGAACCAATGACAAGGACAGATTCAAAAAATTGACAGCCTACCTTCAAGAATCAAGTGGCACCATAAGAA